GTAGCCGAAAACATTGGACTGGTCCCCGTCCCTACGTTCACGGGACGTTTGTAAGACGTCTGGAGACTACGTAGGGAATGGGTCTGCTGAGCTTATTAGCATAAAAAGTGCCTCCCACACTGGGCCACAGTTTCTTTTGAAGTAGGAGATTGTTTGGCTGGTAAAAATGGACCAAGATCAATTCCCTGGGTTCGGGAGCTTCCATCCGAGGTTAGAGAGTTGACAAAATTACTGCGGGAAAAACGATCCCGAGTGCCCCCAAAAGTAGAGGGATGCCATTTGAAAAATGGCTGAGTAGATTTTGGAACTTTCGAGGGGTGAGTTTGTTTAGCCCGAATCATGATTTGGCTAACTTGAACACATGCACCAAAACTTGAAAAGAAATATAAAACTTGGGTCGAGACAGTAATTTAATGTTTGTTTCAGAAACTCCAGTAATGTGGGCTAGCATCTTATTGAGCCCTGAACTTTGTTTACTTAGACTCAGTGGCGTAGCTAGGATTTTACTAGTGGAGGGCACAAGGGACACTAACATTTTATGGGGGCATTCCTTTCGGTGAGTTTTTTTTTTGGGCAAGCTTTTATTAGCCGTATTCATTATCCATTCATCAGATTTTTAGTGTGTGTGTGTGTGTGGGTGGGGGGGGTACCGGGAATTTGTGTGTGTGGGGGGGGAGGCACGTGGCTACGCCACTGCTTATACTGTTTTCAATGAATTCGTTCATTGCACCCTTAGGCCTCTCGCAGTAGAATCAATGGCGTAGCTTGGGGGTGCCTGGGGGCACGCGCCCCCCCATTCCCGGTGCCCCTACTGAAAAAAATAAAAAAAAACCGGATGAATGGACAGTGAACAAGGCTAAGAAAAGCTTGCTTCAAAAAACCACACCGCATGAAAGCTGGTGCCCCCCATAAGATGCTGGTGCCTCCTTTGTGCCCCCACTATAGCTACGCCATTGAGTAGAATGGAAACTCTTCAAGACTTGACCTCAAATTGCACAGCTAAATTGAATGCTATGTAGCAGAAAATTTGATCTTGGAGGTTTGAACTCGTAGTTCAAGACCCGGGTCGACGAAGGAAAAAAGATTCGTTTTTTAATCCGTAAAGGGATCACACCCTCCGAAGAGAAAAAAAAAACCATCAACAAAAACAACAAACACTTATTCACAAAAACCAAACGGCCACACTGGACGAATCACTGTCATCATATAGGCCAATACATGTATAATGTAAATACACGTGCAATGTACAGTAGCAAGGACCAAAACAAAACCAAGAGCGCCACTAACTCGGAAAACAATGCTGTTCTCTGTAAGATTACTCGCAACCATGCTTAATAAAAAGAGACTTGATGTGCCGGATTCAATTCTGGCCGCCAGCTTTGCAGTGCATGTCGGAGTTTTATTCAATCCACGGACTTGAAGGTCGTCGCTTATGTCCTTTTGCTGCAGAACATCCAACCACATGCTATCGATATCGTATCGACCCAAGATCGAAGCAGTTTCCTTTTTTAAATCGAACATTATATGCATGCAAGCAGTTGCATGTGAAAAAAACAAAACATGAGATTCATGAGCGGAGTAATGTAGCCCCCCGGTAACGATGGGATTTTTTTTCAGGAAATTCATTCTGTTAATTTGGGGTCCCACGTGTAACATTTCTTTTGGGTTCCTATTACATTAGGACTACTTGTGTAATTTCAATGTTGACACGATCGTATCACTGAAACAGATTTCAAACAATTTTATTTGTGTGGCTGATAATTTGCTTTCCTTAATCACTCTTGGACATTCATTAACGTGTTCTAAACTCACAAAATTATTTATCAGACGTGACAGGGACAGGAAAAAAAACCTAAACCCGAAATTTACAGAATGACCTCCAAGGGGGAAATGGGCACTTACACCCCCCTGCAGCTTTGAGACAAAAATGCTAAACAGCGTTTGTTCCTGACCCGCGGACTTCCGGATGTTTATTTCACTTTAACCTAATATCTTCCACCGACTACAAGAAACTTGAACTCACTGAAAGGAATAAGATACAATCACAGTTCATATTTATATAATTGAGTGGACTTCATTCATGTGCTGTCTACAGACATTTATAGGGACAAAAATAAAGTAAATGTTGTCATAAACTTCTCACTGCTGAAAAGACAAAAACGCGACCTGAAAAACTAACGATTAGGATTACATTCAAGATAAAACTACGGTAATCATTAAGTTGAGTGAGTGAGACCAGGTCGTGCTTTATCATTATTAACCCTGTCACATCTCAGCCCATTTTATTTTTTTAAAATGACAACTATTATTTTTCTTTCATGTAGAGTTTTATTGAGATT